ACCCAAATACAGCCAAAGAGACCCAAATGCACCCAAATACACCCAAATACAGCCAAATAAACCCAAATACAGCCAAATACAGCCAAATACATCCAAAGAGACCCAAATAATACAGCCAAATAAACCCAAATACAGCCAAATAAACCCAAATAAACCCAAATACAGCCAAAGAGACCCAAATAAACCCAAATACAGCCAAAGAGACCCAAATGCACCCAAATGCACCCAAATACAGCCAAATAAACCCAAATACAGCCAAATACATCCAAAGAGACCCAAATACAGCCAAATAAACCCAAATACAGCCAAAGAGACCCAAATACAGCCAAATACAGCCAAATAAACCCAAATACAGCCAAAGAGACCCAAATACAGCCAAAGAGACCCAAACACATCCAAAGAGACCCAAATACACCCAAAAAGAATCAAAGAGACTCAAATACACCCAAATACAGCCAAATACACCCAAATACATCCAAAGAGACCCAAATACACCCAGAGAGACCCAAATACACCCAGAGAGACCCAAATAGACTCAAATACACCCAGAGACCCAAATACACCCAAAGAGCCCCAAATACACCCAGAGAGACCCAAATACACCCAAAGAGCCCCAAATACACCCAGAGAGACCCAAAATACACCCAAAGGGACTCAAATACACCCAGAGAGACCCAAATACACCCAAAGAGACCCAAATACACCCAAAGGGACTCAAATACACACATATACACCCAAATACACCCAGAGAGACCCAAATACACCTAAATAAATACACCCAAAGACAACCAAATACACCCAGAGAGTCCCAAATACACCCAAAGAGACCCAAATACACCCAAAGAGACCCAAATACACCCAAAGAGACCCAAATACACCCAAAGGGACTCAAATACACACATATACACCCAGAGAGACCCAAATACACCTAAATAAATACACCCAAAGACACCCAAAGAGACCCAAAGAGACCCAAAGACACCCAAAGGGACTCAAATACACCCAGAGAGACCCAAATACACCCAAATAGACCCAGAGACCCATTGAGGAGGGAGCCGATGGTGGGCATGGGGGATGCACTGACCTGGGGGCTGGTTTGGCACCAGGGCAGGGTGGAACCCCAGTGCCCCGGCCCCACGGTGCTGGGCTTGGGTGCTGGTGCCCGGCACATGGGATACGGGGGGGGGGAACCCCGCCTGGGATCAACCTTCACAACGCGTGCACCCCGATCCCATATGGACACCCTGGCGCACTCCCATGCACGCCTGTGAGCCCAGGGCCGCCCTCAGCGCACACCCGAGCACACTGGTGCACACTGTGCATACTGGTTCATACTGGTGCACACTGGTGCATACTGGTACACAGTGGTGCACACTGGTGCACACTGGTTCATACTGGTGCATACTGGTGCACACTGGTGCACACTGGTTCATACTGGTGCATACTGGTGCACACTGGTGCACACTGGTGCGCACTGTTTCATACTGGTGCACACTGTTTCATACTGGTGCACACTGGTTCATACTGGTGCACACTAGTTCATACTGGTGCATACTGGTGCACACTGGTTCATACTGGTGCACACTAGTTCATACTGGTGCACACTGGTTCATACTGGTGCACACTGGTGTGGGCTCTGCTGAGCTCCTGTTGCCCCCCCCAGCTCTGCCCCCCCCTTTCCGTGCAGCCCAGGCTCCTGCTCCAGTCCCAGCTCCAGTCCCAGCTCCAGGCTCCTGCTCCAGTCCCAGCTCCACTGTGGGACAGTGGCTTTGGGGCCCCCAGCCCCAGCCTGCGCCCCGGTCCCCCCATGGAGCCAGTGTGGGATTGAGAACCACGGGATGGGCCGGGAGGAAGGGAGCTTAAAGCCAGGGGCAGGGACCCCTTCCATAGAGCAGCTTGCTCCAAGCCCCTGTGTCCAACCTGGCCTTGGACACTGCCAGGGATGGGGCAGCCACAGCTCCTCTGGGCACCCTGTGCCAGCGCCTCAGCACCCTCAGCTCCCATGGGGACGCGCTGCTGGGATCAGGTTTCCCTGCAGCGGGGCAGGAGCTGAGCAGAACCCCCCCAAGCCCCGCGGCCCTTCCCAGCCCATGCCCCCTCCTTGTCCCCCGTCTGTGCCCCGGGACGAGAGCGCAGGGAGCAGGGAGCTGTGGGCAGGGAACCCTGCGGGGCGCCGAGGCCCCTTCCGGCCCTCCCGCTGGAGGGAGGTCACGAGAGATGGGCTGAGAGAGGGGCTTGCACTGGGAGATGTGCTGGTCTGCACTGGGAGATGCGCTGGTGTGCACTGGGAGATGTGCTGGTCTGCACTGGGAGGGCACTGGTCTGCACTGGGAGATGTGCTGGTGTGCACTGGGAGATGTGCTGGTGTGCACTGGGAGATGTGCTGGTCTGCACTGGGAGATGTGCTGGTGTGCACTGGGAGATGTGCTGGTGTGCAGTGGGAGATGTGCTGGTCTGCACTGGGAGATGTGCTGGTGTGCACTGGGAGATGTGCTGGTGTGCAGTGGGAGATGTGCTGGTCTGCACTGGGAGATGTGCTGGTCTGCACTGGGAGATGTGCTGGTCTGCACTGGGAGATGTGCTGGTTTGCACTGGGACATGTGCTGGTCTGCACTGGGAGATGTGCTGGTCTGCACTGGGAGATGTGCTGGTGTGCACTGGGAGATGTGCTGGTTTGCACTGGGAGATGTGCTGGTTTGCACTGGGAGATGTGCTGGTGTGCACTGGGAGATGTGCTGGTGTGCACTGGGAGATGTGCTGGTTTGCACTGGGAGATGTGCTGGTCTGCACTGGGAGATGTGCTGGTGTGCACTGGGAGATGTGCTGGTTTGCACTGGGAGGGCACTGGTCTGCACTGGGAGATGTGCTGGTTTGCACTGGGAGATGTGCTGGTCTGCACTGGGAGATGTGCTGGTGTGCACTGGGAGATGTGCTGGTCTGCACTGGGAGATGTGCTGGTGTGCACTGGGAGATGTGCTGGTTTGCACTGGGAGGGCACTGGTCTGCACTGGGAGATGTGCTGGTGTGCACTGGGAGATGTGCTGGTCTGCACTGGGAGATGTGCTGGTTTGCACTGGGAGATGTGCTGGTGTGCACTGGGAGATGTGCTGGTTTGCACTGGGAGATGTGCTGGTGTGCACTGGGAGATGTGCTGGTGTGCACTGGGAGATGTGCTGGTCTGCACTGGGAGATGTGCTGGTGTGCACTGGGAGATGTGCTGGTCTGCACTGGGAGATGTGCTGGTGTGCACTGGGAGATGTGCTGGTGTGCACTGGGAGATGTGCTGGTCTGCACTGGGAGATGTGCTGGTGTGCACTGGGAGATGTGCTGGTGTGCACTGGGAGATGTGCTGGTGTGCACTGGGAGATGTGCTGGTGTGCACTGGGAGATGTGCTGGTTTGCACTGGGACATGTGCTGGTCTGCACTGGGAGATGTGCTGGTCTGCACTGGGAGGGCACTGGTCTGCACTGGGAGATGTGCTGGTGTGCACTGGGAGATGTGCTGGTCTGCACTGGGAGATGTGCTGGTCTGCACTGGGAGATGTGCTGGTCTGCACTGGGAGATGTGCTGGTTTGCACTGGGACACGTGCTGGTGTGCACTGGGAGATGTGCTGGTTTGCACTGGGAGATGTGCTGGTGTGCACTGGGAGATGTGCTGGTCTGCACTGGGACACGTGCTGGTGTGCACTGGGAGATGTGCTGGTTTGCACTGGGAGATGTGCTGGTGTGCACTGGGAGATGTGCTGGTGTGCACTGGGAGATGTGCTGGTCTGCACTGGGAGATGTGCTGGTCTGCACTGGGAGATGTGCTGGTCTGCACTGGGAGATGTGCTGGTGTGCACTGGGAGATGTGCTGGTCTGCACTGGGAGATGTGCTGGTCTGCACTGGGAGATGTGCTGGTGTGCACTGGGAGATGTGCTGGTGTGCACTGGGAGATGTGCTGGTGTGCACTGGGAGATGTGCTGGTCTGCACTGGGAGATGCACTGGTTTGCACTGGGAGATGTGCTGGTCCGCACTGGTTTGCACTGGTCCGCACTGGGAGCCGTGCTGGCGGTGCCCACCGCTCCCTGGGTCCGGGTCCTGCCCGGTTCCGCCCCCGCTGCCTCCAGCCCCGTCCCCGTTTCCGCAGTAACCGGACGGGCCCCCCCCCCCCCCCCGCGCTGCCTTCCCCGTGCGAGCCCCGCGCACCCCGGCCCTGACCGCCCCTCCCCCCCCGGCGTCCCGGTGCTTCCAATCCCGGGGATGCCCCCCCACAACCGACCCCCCCCCGTCCTCCCCGTCCCCCCCAACCGACCCCCCCCCCCAAACCGACCCCCTCCCGGTCCTTCCCGAGCGACCCCCCCCAAGCGAACCTCCCCTCAACCGAACCCCCCCCGTCCTCCCCAACCGACCCCCCCTCCCCGTCCTTCCCAACCCCCCCATCCTTCCCAAGCGAACCCCCTCCCCCAAGCGAATCCCCCCCCCTTCCAAACCCCCCCCCATCCTTCCCAAGCGAACCCCCTCCCCCAAGCGAATCCCCCCCCTCCTTCCAACCCCCCCCGTCCTCCCCAACCAACCCCCCCTCCTCGTCCTTCCCAAGTGAACCCCCTCCCCCAAGCGAATCCCCCCCCCTTCCAAACCCCCCCCCGTCCTTCCCAACCGAACCCCCCCAAGCGACCCCCCCATCCTTCCCAACCGAACCCCCTCCCCCAAGCGAATCCCCCCCCTCCTTCCAAACCCCCCCCGTCCTTCCCAAGCGAATCCCCCCCCCAAGCGAATCCCCCACCTCCTTCCAAACCCCTCCCCGTCCTTCCCAAGCGACCCCCCCCCAAGCGACCCCCCCGTCCTCCCCAAGTGAACCCCCCCCCCTCCGTCCTCCCCAAGCGGACCTCCCCCCCCCCCCCCCCGGCTGCCCCGGCAGCCTCCCTCCCCTCCTCAAGAACCTCCCCAGCACCCACAGAACCCCCAGCCCCTGCCCGTCCTCGCCCCCCGGGGCCGGTGTGCGCTCTGCGGGTGCTTTATTGCCTACAGAAGTAGGTGATGCTCTCGGGGCTGAGCGGGGGCTGGATGTCCAGCCTGCGGGCCCTGCTGCCCTGCTCCACGATCTCCAGGCGCAGCGTGGGGACCCTGCCCGCCCCAGCGCCCGGGGACGAGCTCTCCTGGCCCTTGAGGAGCTGCTTGTCCGAGCCCTCGACGGCGATGCGGAGGGTGCAGCCGCGGGGCAGCAGGTCCTGCTCGTGGGCAGCGGCCAGCTGGTTCACCACGCGCCGCTCCACCTGCGGGCACCACCGCAGAGCCGCTGAGGGGGTCCTGGTGGGGCTGCGAGCTCTGAAGCCACCCTCGGGCACCACCGCACGCCAGCGCCGTGGGATGGGGCGGCACGAGAGGGAGCCTAAAGCTCCTCCAGCTCCGACCCCTTCCACGGAGCAGCTTGCTCCGAGCCCCTGCGTCCAGCGTGGCCTTGAGCACTGCCAGGGATGGGGCAGGCGCAGCCCAGCCACCGAGCTCCATCCCTGCCCTTACCTCGTGCTTGATGGAGCGGGCTCCGTAGTGCAGGTTGTAGCCATCAGCCAGCACATCCATGACCTCCCTGTCCCAGAGCAGGGTGATGTTGTGCCTCGCCTTGGCCTGGTGGGTGAGGAAGAGGAGGACGAGCGCGCGGTGCCTTCGCCCCTGCTCCTCTGAGAAGCCAGCTCGAGGCCAGGGGTGGTTCGTACCTTCTTGGCCCAGAAGTTCAGCTCCTTGTTGACCAACTGGATGAGCTCCGCGTGGCAGAAGGGCAGGAAATAGACAATCTCATTGATCCTGCCCAGGAACTCGTCACGTTTGAAGTGAGCCTGCGGGGAGCGGGGCAGGGGGGTCAATGGGATGGGAAGGATGGGGTCACAGAGACAGGGAGCGGCGTGGCACGAAGGCACCTTAAAGCACCTCCAGCTCCAACCACGGGCAGGGACCCCTTCCATAGAGCAGCTTGCTCCAAGCCCCGGTGTCCAACCTGCCCTTGAGCACTGCCAGGGAACTGGCTCAGCTTTAAGGTCCCTTCATCCCAAACCATTCCATGGTTCCATGCCTACACCAAAGGACTTGGAGACCCAAGCTCAGGGCTCCTCAAGAAGCTCCCCCATACCTTCAGGATGGGGCGAATGACCTTCTCCTTGAACTGCTTGGAGATGGTGATCCTGTCGGTCATCTGCACGTCCTCTGAAAGACAGGAGGACATGGGGTGTTGGGTGGGGGCCACGGGCTCCTTCCCATCTGCCAGCTCCGGGAGGTGGGATCCAAGCAGGACGTTGGAACAGCCCCGGAGCCTCCACGTGTGTGTGCCACCAACCACCAGCGGTGTGGAAATGGGGTGTCCCTGCGCTGGGCCCCCTGGTGCAGGGCTGGGTGCCCCCCGGCTGCCCCTACACACGCTGGGTGCCTGAGGACAGCACCCGCATGAGGTGTTTCACTTGCGCAGTGAAAGGGGCCTCTGCTCCCTGCCCTCCACCCTGGAGACCTCAGAGCAGCTCCAGGGCCTGAAGGGGCTGCAGGAAAGCTGGAGAGGGGCTTGGGACAAGGGATGTAGGGCCAGGCCAAGGGGAATGGCTTTAACCTGCCCGAGGGGAGACTGAGCTGAGCTCTTAGGCAGAAGCTCTTCCCTGGGAGGGTGCTGAGGCGCTGGCACAGGGTGCCCAGAGAAGCTGTGGCTGCCCCATCCCTGGCAGTGCTCAAGGCCAGGTTGGACACAGGGGCTTGGAGCAAGCTGCTCTATGGAAGGGGTCCCTGCCCGTGGCAGGGGTTGGGAATGGAGGAGCTTTAAGGTCCCTTCATCCCAAACCATGCCATGATTCGGTGACAGCCCCGGCTCACACTGTGCAGCTCTGGCCGCAGTCCACTTCCCTCTGCTGACTGCAGATGGAGCCAGGGTCTGGCTGGTCCCGAATCCCAGCTCTCAACCACAGCCACCAGCCCGGGGGCAGCTTTCCCTCCCTGCCACCCAAACCCTCTCCGTTTCCCTCGCCTCACCTCTCCCTGCACCCTCATGCACCAAACTCCACGTCCTGTGGAACGCAAGGATGCTCACGGGGAGATCGCTGCATCCCAGCGCTCCGTATGGGATCCAGGCATGCAGGGCGCTGGAGAAGGACCCATGCGGGGTGCTGGGTGCCCTTCCCACCTTTGCAGCCCTGATGGGCATCGCTGCACCCCCGGCAGTAGCAGAAAGGGGCTCATGGGCTCTACCAGACCCGCACTGGTGCCAGCACACAACCACGAGGTGCCATCACCTCTCACGGTGACAGCAGCACCTCAGGGTGCACCCCAGGGTGGGGTTTGGACATTGCAGTCCATTGAAGCAGAGCAGGGGGGCTCTGGTTACAGGGATTTAGCCCATTTCCCTTCTCTGCTAATAGACACCAAGGGGGGGGGGCTGTGTCAATAAGCAATGGGAATGTGACACAGCATTCCCGACGAGAGCTGGAGGAGGCAGAGGACACGGAGCTGCCCCCGGTATCCAGGTTTCCCACCCGTAGCACCCACTGGCAGAGGTGCAGACGCTGCAGCAGCAGCTCCTTCCCTTTATCTCCCCATTTATCTGCCCCCCGGCACTGAGGACCTCCAGGCCATGGCTTTGGAGCATCCCCACTGAAGGAAGGAGCGCCGGGGAAGGCGATGGGGGGCAGGAGTGGGGCTGGGATGCGCTCTCACTGCGGGCGTGCGCTGGCGGCTGCTGCTGGCAATGGAAATCCGATGTCTTCCCCATTTAGCAGGAGTGCCCGTGGCATTTGGAAATGTTATTCCTGAAAGTTCAGGTCCAGGCGCGGCTGATGCTGCAGGATGCTGCATGAAGGCAGCTCTGGCACCCAGCGCTCGCAGCAAACAGGAGGAGACAGGCAGAAAGAAGCTGGGAGATGGATTTGATGCCCCGAAGCAATGTTGTTTTCCTGCTGCCACGGAGCTGATGCAGATGCTGCAGCTCCCAGGTACATCCCAGCACCTCCACCGGCGAGCAGGGCTCTGGAGATGGAGCTTTGGGGAATGTGGTGCCCTGATGGCACAGGGAATGGGGTGGGATGAAGGGACCAAAAGCCCCTCTCCAGGTTTCCTGCAGCCCCTTCAGGCACTGGAGCTGCTCTAAGGTCTCCCCTTCAGGAGCCTTCTCCACACACAGCTGGGTCTTGGGAAGCTTCTCATCATCCAACACACTCCTAGGTGCCCTGCTGAAGATGTGTCCACGTACAGGACCATAACAGGATCTTAACAGGTCTGTGCTCACACACTGCTGTGCAGTTTAGAGCCAAAGGGGACAGCCCTTGGTGCAGCATCACCACCCATCCTTCCATGCATCCACCCCTGGCACAGCAGAGACCAACCAGGCTCTGGGGCCTCTGGGTGCTGCTGGAGGTGCTGGAGGGATGCAGATGAATTTGGCCTCTGCTGCTGCAGTGGAGGTGCTCAGTTCACATTAGAGGCTGCTCTTACCCTACTCAATTCTCCTTTGATTTCCTAATTCACATTTCTGGGGAAGTTTCTGCAAGACCCTAATGGGTAGATCCAGGATTCCCATCCCAGGGACGTGACAGGGTGAAGCTCAGTCCTTTATGGAAGTGAGGGAACAAACCTCTTCAACACGAGCACCATTCCCAGCACTAGTCTGGCCTAGGAAGTGTTTGGAAGGGTTCTGGAAGGATGGAAAGGGTGAGGAGTTGAAGGGTGAAGAACTAAAGGGTGAGGAGTTGAAGGGTGAGGAGCTGAAGGTGAGGAGTTGAAGGGTGAAGAACTAAAGGGTGAGGAGTTGAAGGGTGAGGAGCTGAAGGTGAGGAGCTCAAAGTGAAGAACTAAAGGGTGAGGAGCTGAAGGAGAGGAGCTGAAGGAGAGGAGCTGAAGGTGAGGAGCTGAAGGAGAGGAGCTGAAGGTGAGGAGCTGAAGGAGAGGAGCTGGAGGAGAGGAGCTCAAGGTGAGGAGCTGAAGGAGAGGAGCTGAAGGTGAGGAGCTGAAGGAGAGGAGCTGGAGGAGAGGAGCTGAAGGTGAGGAGCTGAAGGAGAGGAGCTGGAGGAGAGGAGCTCAAGGTGAAGAGCTGAAGGTGAGGAGCTGAAGGTGAGGAGCTGAAGGAGAGGAGCTGAAGGTGAGGAGCTGAAGGTGAGGAGCTGAAGGAGAGGAGCTGGAGGAGAGGAGCTGAAGGAGAGGAGCTGAAGGAGAGGAGCTGAAGGTGAGGAGCTGAAGGTGAGGAGCTGAAGGTGAGGAGCTGAACGAGAGGAGCTGAAGGTGAGGAGTTGAAGGGTGAAGAACTAAAGGGTGAGGAGTTGAAGGGTGAGGAGTTGAAGGTGAGGAGCTGAAGGAGAGGAGCTGAAGGTGAGGAGCTGAAGGAGAGGAGCTGGAGGAGAGGAGCTCAAGGTGAAGAGCTGAAGGAGAGGAGCTGAAGGTGAGGAGCTGAAGGTGAGGAGCTGAAGGTGAGGAGCTGAACGAGAGGAGCTGAAGGTGAGGAGTTGAAGGGTGAAGAACTAAAGGGTGAGGAGTTGAAGGGTGAGGAGTTGAAGGTGAGGAGCTGAAGGAGAGGAGCTGAAGGTGAGGAGCTGAAGGAGAGGAGCTGGAGGAGAGGAGCTCAAGGTGAAGAGCTGAAGGAGAGGAGCTGAAGGTGAGGAGCTGAAGGTGAGGAGCTGAAGGTGAGGAGCTGAAGGAGAGGAGCTGAAGGAGAGGAGCTGAGGGGCAGAGAGCAGAGGATGAGGAGGGCTGCAAGGTGGCCCAAAGCCATCGCCAAAGAAGTGATGTCCCAGAAGGAGGGCTCCAGGAGAGGACAAGCATGAAGCGGAGGCAGCGCAGGAGGGGCAGTGCTGGGGATGGGGTGTGGGACTCAGCACCACTGGTAGACCCGTACCTAGGTTTTCTGCTATCCTCTTCTTGCTCATCTCCAGGGCCTCCTGCCGCAGCTGCAGCGCGTGCTGGGCGATCTCCTCGCTGGCCACGTTGGAGGTCATGATGAAGATGGCATCCTTGCAGTCGATGGTCTTGCCCTTCCCATCCGTCAGCCTGCCCTGCAACAGCACCGGGGGCACAGCACGGCGTGAGCAGGCGCCACAGGATGCGGCCAAACCGTGAGGAGGAGGACACGGGGCCCATGTTTCCCCAAAGGGGATTTATTTACATCATGGAATGGGTTGGGATGGAGGGAGCTTAAAGTTCCTCCAGCTCCAACCCCTGCCACGGGCAGGGACCCCTTCCATAGAGCAGCTTGCTCCAAGCCCCTGTGTCCAACCTGGCCTTGAGCACTGCCAGGGATGGGGCAGCCACAGCTTCTCTGGGCACCCTGTGCCAGCGCCTCAGCACCCTCCCAGGGAAGAGCTTCTGCCTAAGAGCTCAGCTCAGTCTCCCCTCGGGCAGGTTCAAGCCATTCCCCTTGGCCTGGCCCTACATCCCTTGTCCCAAGCCCCTCTCCAGCTTTCCTGCAGCCCCTTTAGGCACTGGAGCTGCTCTCAGGTCTCATTTCCAAAGGGATGCCCATGGATTCGAGCAGGAGAGAAGCAGCGACTTGCCCTGTCCATGATCCCAGCCATCCCCATCCAGCACATCCTTGATGGAAGCTCTGGGAAGCGCCTCATGGGGAGGGGGTGCTGGTGGGCACCCCTAACTCAGCCTCCTGCAGCAACACAGCCCAGACGTTCACCTTCACATGAGTCAGTCCCAAGCTCCCCATGGGGCTGCCTGGGCGTGCTCGGGGGGGAGCTTTGTGGGGGTCTGAAAGCCCCACAAGGAATCCCAGCATCCCAGCCCAGGGGATGTGAAAGCTCACCCAGTTCCAGCCCCCTGCCCTGCACCCTGTGCTCGGGCTCTGCCTGTTGCACAGCGGCTTCATTGCCACGGTGCTGGTGGGGCTGCGAGGCAGGGACGCTCCCCAGCATCGCGCTGCGAGGGCTTTACAGGGCTTTTGTGCTCCTCTGAAGGATTAATAACTCCATTTTTCCTTGCATAGATCACGGGAGCAGCAGCTCAATGGGAAATCAATTCCTGCAGCACGCACTTGACAGGGCAATAACCCAAATGTTAATCTCAAGCACCCAACAAGGATTTGTGTCGCTGGGCTGGAGATCAGCTGCGAGGAAGCAGACTGCCTGGGGAGGTCCTGGCTTCCCAGGCCTTCCTCTGCTCTCTCTGTTCCACTCTATGGAATAAGAGACCCAGGCCCCTTGCAGGAGGGCTGCGGCCACCCCAGTGGGCTGCTGTGGGTGTCACTGCCACCACAGGGCTCGCTTTGTGGGTGATCCCAAGGGCTGCTCACCGTGTTACAGCCATGTCCCAGTTATCCTGCAGGTTACTTGGGTCAGCCTCATTGGAATTCAGCCCGTGCTTCGAGGCCAGCTTGGACACAGGGGCTTGGAGCAAGCTGCTCCAGTGGAAGGTGCCCCTGCACGTGGAGCTGGATGAGCTCACCCAACCCATTCCGTGAATCCATGTCAATCAAATTCCCAGGCTTCACCCCCACATTTCCAACCCTCCCAGTGGCTTTGCCTTTGCCTGAAGGTAACACTGACTCCATCAGGAGCCCTCAGCACCAGCCCGCTCCCTGGCTGGGTGGCAGTGCCCGCAAGGGACCACTGATGTGGAGCATCCCGGCACACCTCCCGCATCCCCTTCCCTTCCCTCCGGGCCTGCAGCGCGGCGGTACCTCATCGAAGAGCTGCAGCATGATGGTGAGCACGTCCGGGTGGGCTTTGTCAACCTCATCGAAGAGCACCACGGCGTTGGGGCACTGCCTCAGCCTCTTGGTGAGCTGCCCCCCCTCCTCGTGGCCCACATAGCCTGGAGGGGAGCCGATGAACTTGGCAACCTGGGGGGCAGGAACAGGGCACGTGGAGCTCAGCCACACTGAAGCCCCTTTGGGGGGGGGGCTTTGCATTCCCAACCCATTCCGTGGCTCTCTGATGAAGACTCATCTCAGCAAGGAGCTCAAATCCAAAGGGATTTGCACCCCCCCCCCCAGCTCTGGGGTGACCCTGCTGAGATCCCCCCTCTCCTGCAGCACCCGCGTGGGGTGGGAGGTGGGACAGGAGGGGTGCGCTCTGCGCCGCTGGCCTCTGCTCTGCTGGATTCTCCCATTCCCTGCCCGGATGCTCTTCCCCACAGCCCCACACTGCGCAGACACGGGGTGGTAAAGCTTCCCTTGCTCCGTGCTCTTTGATCCCAATTCCCCACTATTTCCCATTTTGGGAATGTAGAAGCTGGAGCGAAGCTGCTGCTCTGCTGGGCTCCCCCTTTGCCCCCCCAAACCACGCATCTCCTGGAGGCCATGGAAGCAAGCCGGGGCTGGTGGCAGCCTGGGAGCAGAGGGAAGCGATGCACTGACCTCGTGCCTCTCCTGGAACTCCGACATGTCCAGTCTGATGAAGCCCTGCAAGAGAAAGGAACCCCTGAGGTGGGGGTTGAGGATGTGCTCCAAACTCATCCCATTTACAAGGCTCCTCTGCACCCAGCCCACTGCCTGCAGGGATCAACACGTGGATATGGGGTTCCCAAGGACCGGTGGTGCCGGAGCGGCCACATCCACCCCAGAACACCCGGGGTTGTTGTGACGAAGAGGAAGGGGGAGACTGAGCTGAGCTCTTAGGCAGAAGCTCTTCCCTGGGAGGGTGCTGAGGCGCTGGCACAGGGTGCCCAGAGAAGCTGTGGCTGCCCCATCCCTGGCAGTGCTCAAGGCCAGGTTGGACACAGGCTTGGAGCAAGCTGCTCTATGGAAGGGGTTGGGGTTGGAGCTGGAGGAGCTTTAAGGTCCCTTCATCCCAGCCCATCCCATGGTTCCATGTTCCCAGCTAACAGAACCTTCAGCACTGCACTGATTCCTCCATGTGCTGTTTGCCCAGGCATTGACCAGTTCCAGGAGCTGGGAATGGAGGTGCCTGAAGCCCAGGAGCTGGGAATGAAGGTGCCTGAAGCCCAGGAGCTGGGAATGAAGGTGCCTGAAGCCCAGGAGCTGGGAATGAAGGTGCCTGAAGCCCAGGATCTGGGAATGAAGGTGCCTGAAGCCCAGGATCTGGGAATGGAGGTGCCTGAAGCCCAGGATCTGGGAATGGAGGTGCCTGAAGCCCAGGAGCTGGGATGTACTGCTTTAGGAAGGCCATTAGGGGAGGAGGAGGAACAGAAACCAGAACAGGCGCGTTCATGGCCTTGTTTCAATCTGCTCTCTGCAGCTCCCATCCCATCCTGCGGCCATTCCCTGCTGGAGGATGCTGGGGACAGGTTGAGGGGGGCTTTTCCCTGCTCCAGCGTTCCCCAGTTCTCCATGGGAGAGATCTGGGCACCTCCCAGAGCCTAAATCTCAAGCCCTAAGCGTGGAATACCCAGCTTGAAACGCTTGGTGCCTTCAAACCTCACATCCCTGAGCTACCCCTTACGAAGCCACCGCCACCGGGGAGGATGGAACCAGATGAGCTTTAAGATCCCTTCCAACCATTCCATGAGGATTCCATGAATCAGCCGAGGGAAGAGCGTTACCTTTTTGACATCCTTATGGATGTACTTGGCTGTCTGCTTGGCCAGCTCCGTTTTACCTGTCCCAGAGAGGAAAAGACTCGTGTTAGACCAGGTCTGTCTGTCCTCCTGTGCCAACACCAGGGCTGGCGGCACCATTGCCAACACAAGCGTTGTCTCCATGCAAACACACCCAAGATGTTGTGAGATCAGATCCCATCCTCCCGATGTGTCCATTGAACACACAGGTTCTGTTGGAAATCCCCCGGGATTTGCCCAGAAACCCCCTCCTGCTGCCACCCTGGCACCACGGATGGGTTTCCTGGGCTTTTATTGTGTCCAGCTCCAGGGCCTAAAGGGGCTGCAGGAAACCCAGGGAGGGGCTTTGGCCAAGGGGAATGGCTTGAACCTGCCCCAGGGGGTTGGAGCTGGAGGAGCTTTAAGCCCCCTTCATCCCAAACCCTTCCCTGATTCCGTGCTGCACCACACAGCCCCGCAGCTCTGCCGGTGGTGATGGCTTCGGTGGCTGGACGTGAGGATCACGGAATGAGATCAGCACAGAAGTGCTGCAAACATGGGAAGTGAGCCAGGACCCAGCATCCTGGTGCGGTTCTGCCTTTGTCCACTTTGGCTGTGGCTGGGTTGTGGGTCCCCACACGTGAGCACACAGATCCAGACGCGCTCTCTCACACAGGGTATGAACGTAAGGGAATCAGGATGGGTCCTTAACTTATAACCACGGAATGGGTTGGGATGAAGGGAGCTTAAAGCTCCTCCAGCCCCAACCCCTGCCACGGGCAGGGACCCCTTCCATAGAGCAGCTTGCTCCAAGCTCCTGAGTCCAACCTGGCCTTGAGCACTGCCAGGGATGGGGCAGCCCCAGCTTCTCGGTGCTCTCCTTTTCTCCAATATTCCTTTCTATGGGAGCAGTGGAAAAGCCCCCCATGGACACACAGAGGAGTTGAAGAGCTGTGATTCACACCACCGAGCCCCTACAAGGAGGGCAGTGAAGTCCCAAACCCATTTCTTACTGGTTTTATAGGGCTTTATACAACTCCTCTCGAGGTAACACCCGGCTCGTGGCCGGCAGCGACCCATAGATCCCGGTGTGTGTCCCTGCCCTGAGCCCTCCAGCCCCCTCCCGAGGCTGAGGGATGCCCTGGATGCAGGAGGAGCACTGGGGTTGTTGCAGGTGTCGCTTTGGCCGCTTTGTTCCCTGCCTGGAAGTCATCTTGGCCATTCCACGAAGGGATCAAGTGTTTGGTTACCTTTCCTTGTGCTTGAGGACAAACATTATGGGAGTCAAGGAAATCCCGTCATTCCAAAGCCTCCCGCGTCCATAGGAGCGAGGCAGCAGAGGCTGGAGCTGCCAGCAGCAGCTTCCTGCTCTCACCTCTCCCGTGGAGGCAGAAACCAACCCTTTTCCTGGGCAAACTGCCCCTTTTGGGATGGGATAACTGAGCGTGCAGCTGCCTGAGCCCTGCCTGGGGCCTGCCAGGGGTTATCCTGCGGGATCCCGCACCAGCTGGAGGGATGCAACACTTAAACTGGTGTTGTATGAGAAGCAGAGAGAGAGGGGCTGCGCCGGGGCTGAGGAGCAGCCCCAGCCCCTCCATCCCTCTGGCACAGCCCAATCCTTACCTATTCCAGAGGATCCCAGGAACAGAAAGACGAGCGGGTGCTCCTCGTCGTACCAGCCGTTCTCCTTCCTCCGAATGGCTGCGTTTAAAGACAATGGGAACAACAAAAAGGAGGAAGGGGAGGGAGGGAAGGGGGGAAAAGGCAAATAAATCAATGCCACAGAACCAGGGATAATTATCACTAAGTACACACTCTGTTTTCCTGCTCTCTCCCCACTCAAAGTCCTCGCTGCCATTAGTGCCATCTAATTCGATTAGGCAGGCCCGGCCCCAGAGACACCTAATCAGGTTAGCATGGATTGGGAAAGCTGCCCAGAGCAGAGCGTGGATAAAGTTTTCCAGGATGTGCACTCAGTGTTGCCAGGGAGACGGGAGGGAGGGGGGACCGGGAGGGATGGAGGGATGGAGGGAGGGATGGAGCCGTACCGGTGCAGTGATGCTGCACCAGAGCAGCAGGTCCGAGGATTGTGTGTTATTCCTTGAGTGGGAATGGGAAGAGGGAGGGGATTGAAGGAGTGGGGAAAGGCTGGAAGGGCTGGGAAAGGAGAGTTTCTATGTCTCTGGATGGCAATATCCAATGGGATCCAGCTCTGCTCTGGAGCCAGGCTGAGAGAGCTGGGCTGGGGCAGCCTGGACAAGAGAAGGCTCCTGAAGGGGAGACCTGAGAGCAGCTCCAGTGCCTGAAGGGGCTGCAGGAAACCCAGAGAGGGGCTTGGGACAAGGGATGTAGGGCCAGGCCAAGGGGAATGGCTTGAACCTGCCTGAGGGGAGACTGAGCTGAGCTCTTAGGCAGAAGCTCTTCCCTGTGAGGGTGCTGAGGCGCTGGCACAGGGTGCCCAGAGAAGCTGTGGCTGCCCCATCCCTGGCAGTGTTCAAGGCCAGGTTGGACACAGGGGCTTGGAGCAAGCTGGGGATGTGAAGGGAAAAGCCAGGTCCGGAGGTTGCCAGGGGAGGTTTGGGATTGAGGGGCCCACAGGCAGGAAGCATCTCCACAAAAGCAGAGAACTCGCTCCTCCAGGAGCCACAGGAACCTGCTCCAGGGCTGGATGAGAGGAGTCAATGTGGGAGGGAGGCAGGATGGGTTCTGTAGGGAGGGTGAGTCAGCGCTGCAGCAGCAGTGCGGCTGGATCCCGAATCCTTGGGGAGCCCGTGGAGAAGGTGGGAAGAACCCTGCAAGGAGGTGGTGGCTCGTTTGCATCACTCGGTGATGCAGGAGTCAGCCTGAAGAGCCAAAAAAGCCCAGTTTAACCCTAAAATCCAAGGCACATCCACCAGATGCAACAGGATGGAGCGCAGGGAGCGGGAATTCAGTGGAAGCCGAGTCCCAGCACAACGAGGACGTGACATTCTGTGTCTGGCCACCATCAAGATGCATTACCCATCCCTTGGCTGCTCTAACACATCCTGACTCCTGTCAAGGCTTAATCAGACCGGGCTTTGAGCCAGGCTCTGCCTTACCCTGCCTGGGCTGGGGTGGGGGGGCAGCTCAGCCCCACGGACCAGCTCCAAGAGCAGGCAGGGATTTGTCCTCTGATGTGGTGGTGAACATCTCCTCCTCGAACCGGGACCAGGGGCACCCGTGGGGACCACGGGGATCCATACTGGGCCCAGCGCTGCTCAGGGCCTTCCTAAGTGATGTGGATGAGGGGATCAAGTGTTCCCTGAGGACACCAAACTGAGTGGGGAAGGGGGCAGCTGGGACTGCTCAGCTGGAGAAGAGAAGGTGCAGGGAGACCTGATCCATGTGCCAGGAGGTAAAGGGGGCTGCAGGGAAGATGGAGGCTCCCTTTGGACAAGGAGTCCCATGGGAAAGCCCAGGGGTGATGGGCACAAGTTACTGCTGGGAGATTCCCACTGGGAACAAGCAGCCACTGGAATAATGTCCCCAGGGCAGTGGTGACTCCCCAGGGCTGGACCCTGTTAAGATGGGGCTGCACAGGGTGCTGGGCACCCAGTGTGGGTCAGGCTGTGCCTGGAGAGGTTGGAGCAATGATCCTTGAGGTCCCTTCCATTGGGATTCCAGGATTCCATGAAATCACAGGCAGCATCCACATCACCCCCACTGAAGAGCCAGCACACGAGGAGCAAGAGGAGATGCCCACGGCATGGAGGTGCAGGGGGTGTCCGTGTGATCCCAGAGCTGCTCCAACGTCCCCTGCACAGCTCCCAGAGCATCCCACCATGGCTTGTGCTCCATCCCTGCCCTTTACGGCAGCAAAGCTGAGGTCAGCCACGCGGGTGGATATATTTCCTGCAGGATTGATGGGGAATAACGGGACCACTGACAGTGTCTGCAGCATCTCAGCTAATAAAGGTAATAAAGTTCTGCTCCAGGGCATGGAGTGACCACGGGCAGGGTCAGCACGTTCAATGGTCTGCAGGCAGCCAGGTTAAGTGTTAAGTGTTGTCTCTTTTCACTCCCCTCTCCAGCAGCATCCCGGATTTTATGGATAAACACTCATCTTGCTCATCACAACTCCAGGGATATAAAGCATCCCATAAAACACAGCCACCATGGAGCTAGGGCTGTGATCCTGGCTGGAAGGGGCTGGGCATTAGTTAGAGCCATCAATGGCGTGACGGGATGGAAAACCTCTGCTACAAGGAGCCTTAAGCTGATGATTCCAGCCCCAGATGCTCTTGAGGTCCTGGCTGCCATCAGAAAGGGGCCAGCGAGCCCCCTGCTCCAGCACCTCCAGCCATGGGAGGCTCTCGAGGGCTGGCCACCAGCATCATGAGGAGGAGCAGAGCTGCTGCCCTCAGGCTGGAGCAGGCCATTGTGTGGACAGGAAGGGGGAGAACCTCAGCTTGGGGAGCCTCCTCTCCTCGGGCTCTGCAGCCACAAGGCAGCCTCCAGCCCTGCTGGTGGTGGCCGTGCAGGAGCCCACGCTGTGCCTCTTGGAAAGCCGTCCCCTTCCCGTTGGGAACGTGGAGGGGGTGGCAGGAATTGCTCCAGGTCACTGAGCTCTGCTGGAATCTCATGCAGGCACCTGAGCCCCCAGGCCCGAGCGAGGACGTGGATGATGACGCCGGGGCCTTCTTCTCTGGAGCCATTTCCAGCGTTGCTGTGGTGCTCTCACTTGATTTTGGCCATCAGTAACGGCGCGAGCGCGGCGCGGGGTCTCCGAGAGGCCCTTCAGCTCTCTATTGAACTGATAAATTCACTGTATTACTTTACACAAATCAATACCCTCGCAGTTCTCAGCCCTTGATGTGACCAAAATTGGTTTCAGCCAATTTGTGAGCGTAATAAATGTCCATTTATCAAATCAATTCATTCAGGGTTGCTGCTCGAACCGCCCGGGTCGGGGTACGTGGGGTGAGCGATCCGGGTCTGCACCCGCTGTGGGATCGCTCGTCTCCATCCGGGATCGGTCCAGCATCCCAAAGGAACCGATCCAGCCCCACTGCTGGTGGCACTGGGATGTGGGAGATGAACCTCAAACGATCCCAAGGCTGCTCCCAAGCAGAGCCTGACCTGACCGCGGTGCAGGAGGTTTACACAAGGAAATGCAGGAACCAGGAAGGATCTGACCAGAGGAGGCCATGGAGCTGCTGCGAGGGCTGGAGCAGCTCTGCTCTGGAGCCAGGCTGAGAGAGCTGGGCTGGGGCAGCCTGGAGAAGAGAAGGCTCCTGAAGGGGAGACCTGAGGGCAGCTCCAGAGCCTGAAGGGGCTGCAGGAAAGCTGGAGAGGGGCTTGGGACAAGGGATGTAGGGCCAGGCCAAGGGGAATGGCTTGAACCTGCCCGAGGGGAGACTGAGCTGAGCTCTTAGGCAGAAGCTCTTCCCTGGGAGGGTGCTGAGGCGCTGGCACAGGGTGCCCAGAGAAGCTGTGGCTGCCCCATCCCTGGCAGTGCTCAAGGCCAGGCTGGACACAGGGGCTTGGAGCAAGCTGCTCTATGGAAGGGGTCCCTGCCCACGGCAGGGGGTTGGAACTGGATGATCTTAAGGTCCTTTCCAACCCAAACTATTCTATGATTCTATGACTCTGTGATCCCAGGAGGATGATTCCCACTGCCCCGTTTCCCTGCAGCTCTGGCTCACTCCAACATTCTCCCTGCTCAACGCACTCAGAATTCACCCTTCAGAACCAGACGTGGATTTTCCGCTCCCCCTTTTCCAAACCCTCTGCACTCCAAACCCAGCCACCCTTTTCCTTCCTTGCTCCTCCTCATCCAGCTGCAGGAAGAGCTGGAGCAGCTTCATTCCATCCCCAAGCTCTGGAGCCAGCCTCTACGTGCCCATGGGCTGGCAAAGGCTCTGTATGCCATAGAGGAGGTGATGGAGCCACGAGAGAGGTTTATGGGGACTTCCATCCGAGGTGGTCGTGCTCTGGTGGGATATTTAGGAGATGGGATAACAAAACTTAGGGACAGAATCATGGGATGGGGTGGGATGAAGCTCCCTAAAGCTCCTCCAGCTCTCCTGCCCCTGTGGATTCCAGTCAGGAATCATCACTCAGCTCCCCACAGCCCTGCTCAGCTCTATCCTGCTTCCTGCAGCGGAGAGAGCAGCAGAGCTCACCTCTATCCCACGGGAAGGGTTCCTGCCCTCTGCGGCAGCGATGCCAAGCACCAGCTCCGTGTGAGCAACCCCAGTGCCCCGGCCCTCCACACAACCCCCAGAGCACACGTCGCCTTTGTATTCCCATCTGAGCCCCTCTGGAGAGTGTTTGGCTCATGCAGCGAGTGATGGATTAAATCAGATTATTCAATTAAGGGCCGGGTGATGCATTAAACAGCTCAGCAGGCTCGCCTAATCCCGGGACGAGGAGTGACAAACCGGGGAGCAGGAGGCCACGAAGTGGGAGCAAATCCAGCTGGGAACGAGTGAAATCAGCCCAAAGGCAGAGGGGCAGGGGCTGGAAGGAAAAACCGTGCCTCCAAATTCCCTCTTCCGGAGGGAAAGCAGCGGGGATGGGGCAGAGGGGAGGAGGGGCCGGAGCCTCTCCTGCTACCTTCGGCTCCGATATCCCGAGGCTGCGGGGCGGGGGGTGGGATCCAGCACGTTCCCTCTAATTCAATAAGAGAAACCTCCATAAAGGCAGCTGCTCTAATGGGCAGCAGCACCACCTGTGTCAGCAGCGGCAGCACCATCAATCACAGCGCCGGGCTCGCCCCGCTCCTGCCCCCAGGCGCCGCCGCAGCAGCCCCGGCCCCGCTGCGCGGCTCCGGCCCGGCTCCCATCACCCTCGGCTCCTCTTTGTTACCGCGGGGCCGCTCTGCCCCATCCCAAGCCGCGCTCCCCGCGCTGCTCCGGCTGCCAGGCGCTGCTGCGACGGGCCAAGGAGGGGCAAGAGGATCCGGAGGCTTTGCACAGAGCCCGGCCTTGCTGGAGCTCTGCTTCCATAGAGCCACGGAATGGGTGGAAGGGAGCTCAAAGCTCCTCCAGGACCCCTTCCATAGAGCAGCTTGCTCCAAGCCCCTGTGTCCAACCTGGCCTTGAGCACTGCCAGGGATGGGGCAGCCACAGCTTCTCTGGGCACCCTGTGCCGGCGCCTCAGCACCCTCACAGGGAAGAGCTTCTGCCTAAGAGCTCAGCTCAGTCTCCCCTGGGGCAGGTTCAAGCCATTCCCCTTGCTCCATCCTGGGATCTGAGAGGCTGCCCCATGGAAAAGCGCCTGCAATGGACAGCCAGGACCCATCTTCTCCTTTCTCCTCCCTGCGGGGCCGTGTGCTCCATGACGTGCACTGGAAGGAGCCTGGCTGGTGCCTGCAGTGAGACACAGAGCTCAGAGCTCCCCAGGGCTCAGTGCCTGTCCTGGAGCTCGTGGGGCTCCCAGCTCCCTGCCCTGGGTCACCCCGTGCAGGGGATCTGCTGCCACAGCCGTGGGGTAGGTTTGCAGTGGGGAGGTAACAGCATGTCCTGGGCTAAGGGAGTCAGCCACCATCCTGCTCTGCTCTGCAGATGCACAGCACCCTTTTGTCTCAGTGATTACCATAACGAAGTTATGCTCCGAGCAACTGTCAGTGCTCATCTGATGTCTGTGGCTTCTGTTGGGGCCCACGTGCCTAAAAACTGCTCTGGGTTTAACCTCAGCTCCAGCACTCTCTGATGGAAGCATCCCCAAACCTTGCTGCACACCACGAGAGCCCAGCTCACTCCAGGAAAGCTGGAGAGGGGCTTGGGACAAGAGATGTAGGGCCAGGCCAAGGGGAATGGCTTTAACCTGCCCGAGGGGAGACTGAGCTGAGCTCTTAGGCAGAAGCTCTTCCCTGGGAGGGTGCTGAGGCCCAAAGAAGCTGTGGCTGCCCCATCCCTGGCAGTGCTCAAGGCCAGGTTGGACACAGGGGCTTGGAGCAAGCTGCTCTATGGAAGGGGTCCCTGCCCGTGGCAGGGGCTGTGGCTGGATGAGCTCTAAACTCCCTTCATCCCAACCCATGCCATGTTTCCATGACTCCATGAAGGGCTCTCTCCCCCAGCCAAGATATCCCTGCTGGACCTCAGCACTGGTCCCCCCCCACCTCAATGACTCGGAGGCAGCCCCAGGTCAGGTCCCGAGGGAACACCGTGCTCCCCCTGTGGAGCAGGGGATGAGGGCTGGAGGAGCAGGGTCCTACCTGCTCCCACCGTGGCAATGGCGCTCTCCTGGCCGATGATGTGCTCCTTGAGCCGCTGCTCCAGCGGGAACCTCCGGCGCTCCTCCACCTCCCTCCGGCGCTGCTCCTCCTGGAACTGGGGCAGGAGGAAAACGCTGGGCTCAGAGGCTGTTCCAAGCAACACCACGAAATCAGGTGGGTGCGTGGAGCTTCCCCCCCCAGGATAGCTGGAATTCCGCTCCAGGCACTGGGAAGCAGCCACAGCTCATCCTAAGGAGCTCCCATCCTGTTACAAGCTCACATGGAAGAAGCAAGCTTTGGCTATGCCACTTGGATTTGCTTTCCCACTCTCCCCATGTCTCCTATGCAGCCTCCAAGCTCTTCCCGCAGGGCTGTATCCTGGTGGGAATGCTGGCAAGCAGACCCTCTGCAGGATGGAGGAAACACTGGGAAGAGCTCTTTATTGGGAGATCGGCTTCCCTGTGCTCCAGAGGAGGCATCCACCCTGCTCCAGAGGAACAGGGAGCCACACACTGCGCCCACCCAGCCCATTTCCCAGCGGGATGGGCGATGTTTGCCACGCCAGAGCTGGCCGAGGAGAGAACATAATCCTGGAATCCCAATGCAAGGGACCTCAGGGCTCACCTGCTCCAACCTCTCCAGGCACAGCCTGACCCACACTGGATGCCCAGCACCCTGTGCAGCCCCATCTTAACAGTGTCCAGCCCTGGGGAGTCACCACTGCCCTGGGGACATTATTCCAGTGGCTGCTTGTTCCCAGTGGGAATCTCCCAGCAGTAACTTGTGCCCATCGCCCCTGGGCTCTCCCATGGGACTCCTTGTCCAAAGGGAGCCTCCATCTTCCCTGCAGCCCCCTTTACCTCCTGGCACATGGATCAGGTCTCCCTGCGCCTTCTCTTCCCCAGCTGAGCAGTCCCAGCTCTCTCAGCCTTTCCTCACTGCTGCCCAGCCCTTGGAGCATCTTTGAGGCCCTTCTCTGGCCCCTCTCCAGCCCGGCCACAGCTTTGCTGTGCAGCAGGACCCAACCTGAGCCCATGTTCCAGGGGTGCCCTGAGCAGCGCCCAGCACAGTGGCACAAGGGCACCCTCATCCCCGTGGTGATGCCCTTGGGGATGTTCCCCAGCACCCTGTTGGGTTTCTTTGCTCAGCTGCTCACTGCGATGGAGCTGGGGTGCCCCAGGGCCCTTTCCCGGAGCTGCTCCAGCCTGGACTGCACACAAGGATCCCACGGGGTCTGCGGATGGAGGAGCCACCCCTGAGCCCACCCGCCTGAAGGGGAAACCCCGGTGTGCTCACAGCTGGATGCTGCTCCCACATCCCGAATGGATAACCCCATCCAGGCCCACGTCCAGTGCTTCCTGGCTGAGCAGTGCCTGACAGGAGGCAAAGCCCCCAGATAAAGAGCAAACACTCCAGCTCTGGCTGGTGCCACCAGCCCCACGTGTATGAGATGCCATCAGCCTTTGTACAGGGCAATAACTTCCCTGTGGGTCCCAGTGGAGCAGCTCCATGGATGAAGGGAGCTTAAAGCTCCTCCATCCCCAACCCCTGCCACGGACAGGGACCCCTTCCATAGAGCAGCTTGCTCCAAGCCCCTGTGTCCAACCTGGCCTTGAACACTGCCAGGGATGGGGCAGCCACAGCTTCTCTGGGCACCCTGTGCCAGCGCCTCAGCACCCTCCCAGGGAAGAGCTTCTGCCTAAGAGCTCAGCTCAGTCTCCCCTCGGGCAGGTTCAAGCCATTCCCCTTGGCCTGGCCCTACATCCCTTGTCCCAAGCCCCTCTCCAGCTTTCCTGCAGCCCCTTCAGGCACTGGAGCTGCTCTCAGGTCCTGTTTGCTCTATAAAGGCCATTACAGACAGTTTGACATGAGGAAGCAGACACAAGCTCCAGGTCTGCAGGTCCTCGCTGCTGCCTGCAGGGAGAGAGCTGGGAGAAGGGGAACTGTGGCTCATCCTGCTTGAAAGACTCCTTCCAGTCCTGCTGGAGATGGGAGAGGTGGATCTGACCCAGCCTGGTGCACACAAGGAGGGGTTCAATGGAAAGACAGGCTTGTAAGAGGCAAGGAGTCTCCATGAGGGACTGCAGCGACAGGACAAGGGGTGATGGGTTCAAACTGAAACAGGGGAAGTTGAGATTGGATCTAAGGAGGAAGTTCTTTACTGTGAGGGTGCTGAGGCACTGGAATGGGTTGCCCAAGGAAGCTGTGAATGCTCCACCCCTGGCAGTGTTCAAGGCCAGGCTGGAGGGATCCCTGCAGGACCTGGTTTAGTGTGAGGTGCCCACGGCACAGATCGAGAACTGGATGATGTTAAGGTCCTTTCCAATCCTATTCCATGATTCTGTGACTCCAAGACTGCTGGGGCCGCTTCCTCCTGCTTCCTTAGAGAAGACACAAGGTTTGGGTGCTACTTTTAGCCCTGGATACAGGTGAGGCCACTTCAGCTGGACCAGGGTGCCCAGCTCCGAGCTCCGGGTGCGTGGGCTCTGGTGCAGGGAGCACGCGGAGCATCCCTGCTCGCGCAGGCAGAAGGGGTGATCCCAACCCATTAAACATACATATGAAACCTCCTTGCTATTCCGGCAGCGGGGTATGTAAATCACAGCTAGGGGATGTGCCCAGCCCCTAACAGTGCTGCCAATTCATTCTCCTGCAGTGATTAAAATGAGCAATTCCTCCTCAAAGACTCTCTGCGGAGCGCGGAGACCGGAGCGGCGGCAGCCCCCCGAGCACCGCGTCCCCCCCAGCTCCGTATCCATCACCCGCCGCCTGCTCCCGCTCCCCGTTTATAGACAAGAGCTCTCGTCTCCAGCAGGAACATCCCATAGATCTATGTCCTTCCTCTCCTCCCTCGACTCGTGCAGCATTAAACCCAGCACTGCTTCGTGCTGTCACGGGCAGGCTCCCGGGAGCAGGGCTGGCTCCAGGGAGCGCTCACCCAGCACACGATTCCCACCTCATCCTCCCTGGGACGTTCCGAGTAGTTTATTCCCAGCTTTTTGTGCTGGAGGGAAGGCATGGGATCCACATGGACAAGGACAGCCTAGAGTTGGGACCACAGAACCTAATGGAGTTCAAGCAGGCCAAGGGCAAGGACCAGGGCAATCCCAGCACAACCAGAGGCTGGGGGAGATGAGATGGAGCAGCCTGAGGAGAAGGACTTGGGGTGCTGGGTGAGGAGGAGCTCCCCATGATCCCATCCCTGGCAGCGCTCAAGGCCAGGTTGGACACAGGGGCTTGGAGCAAGCTGCTCTATGGAAGGGGTCCCTGCCCATGGCAGGGGTTGGAACTGGGTGAGCTTTAAGGTCCCTTCATCCCAACCCTTTCCATGACTCCATGACCCTACGTCACGGTGCGCTCCATGACTCAAGGACACCGGATCCTCAGACCTGTTTCTTCTTACCATGAACTGCAGACCTAAACCAACCCCTGATTTCCTCTGGTTTTGCCATGGGGCTCCAGAACAGCACCTCTGCCCCTCTGCCCCCACCCTCCCAGGAAGACCATGGACACGGGAGGGAAGGACACGCACCCCTGTACCCGGAACACTGCAGGAATGGGGTTCTTCCCTTCCGCATCATGGGTTGGATTCATACAGCTCCTGGTTGTGCTGGGGTGTTCCAGGTCACCCTAAGCTGGAACCTGGGGGTACCGGGGCTCACCTTTGTCTCTGCTGCTTTCAGGAGGTCCTTGACCTCCCCATCGCGGGCGTAGTCCAGGGGGGTATGGCCCATCTCGTTCTTCTGCAGCGGGTTGGCACCTGAGGGGAGGAAGAAATGGATGGGGTCAGGGATTGGAGCCGAGTCCTGAGGCACGAGGAGCAGGAAGCACTCACTGGGCATCCCTGGGGCCGCCCCTGAGCTGGGCTCCAAAGGGGATCTGCATCACAGAGGGGCAATGTCCAACCAGCGGTTCCACACACGGGTGTCCAGGGAATGGGGACAGGAACTGCCCCTGCTAACAACGCCTTGGCACGGAAGGGCTGCTGTGGTCACCAGAGCCTCACAAAGGCTCCCATGGGACCGCTCCAGCCTCAGCAGGAGCCTGCAGGGACAGGCCAAGGGGAATGGCTTGGAAGGGGCTTGGAGCAAGCTGCCCTAGGGGAAGGTGGCATTGGCTTGGGGCTGGAGGAGCTTTAAGTATCCTTCCATCCCCCCCCATCCCATGATTCCATCCCTAAGTTTTGTTATCCCATCTCCTAAATATCCCACCAGAGCACGACCACCTCGGATGGAAGTCCCCATAAACCTCTCTCGTGGCTCCATCACCTCCTCTATGGCATACAGAGCCTTTGCCAGCCCATGGGCACGTAGAGGCTGGCTCCAGAGCTTGGGGATGGAATGAAGCTGCTCCAGCTCTTCCTGAAGCTGGATGAGGAGGAGCAAGGAAGGAAAAGGGTGGCTGGGTTTGGAGTGCAGAGGGTTTGGAAAAGGGGGAGCGGAAAATCCACGTCTGGTTCTGAAGGGAGAATTCTGAGTGCGTTGAGCAGGGAGAATGTTGGAGTGAGCCAGAGCTGCAGGGAAACGGGGCAGTGGGAATCATCCTCCTGGCCTGGGCTGAAGGGAATGGTCCCACTGATGGGAATCTCAGATCAAGCAATGTGGGATGAGGAGAGATGGGAGTGGGGGAAGAGCCAGTGATGGCTCAGGAGCTTGGCATCCCAGGAGACACCTGGAGAAGGTGCAGGGAGACCTGATCCATGTGCCAGGAGGTAAAGGGGGGTGCAGGGAAGATGGAGGCTCCCTTTGGACAAGGAGTCCCATGGGAAAGCCCAGGGGCGATGGGCACAAGTTACTGCTGGGAGATTCCCACTGGGAACAAGCAGCCACTGGAATAATGTCCCCAGGGCAGTGGTGACTCCCCAGGGCTGGACACTGTTAAGATGGGGCTGCACAGGGTGCTGGGCATCCAGTGTGGATCCAGTCACTCCCACCAGGATTCCATGGTTCCATAACTCTATGATTACGTCCCACCCGTGGCCAAGCATGCCGAAGGGCCCAGCAGACATCTCCCATCCCATTGGGAATGACCCGGCCACCTCAGCACTACCTAAAGCACGCTCCATCCCCTGCTCCTGGAGGCCGGGAGAGCCCCATCCTGATGGATGGAAGGAGCAGAGGACCCCAAGGAGCCGAGTGCTGGACTGGGATTTGCTTCCACATGAAAAATGGGCTCCATAAGGTAGGAGTGCAGAGGAGTTTCCATGGCAAGGCTTGGCATTCCAGATGAAGCCTGGGATCCCTTCTCATTCCAAATGAAGGCTGGGATCCTTCATCATTGCAGATGAAGGCTGGGATCCTTCGTCATTCCAGATGAAGCTTGGGATCCCTTGTCATTCCAGATGAAGCCTGGGATCCCTTCTCATTCCAAATGAAGGCTGGGATCCTTCATCATTCCAGATGAAGGCTGGGATCCTTCGTCATTCCAGATGAAGCTTGGGATCCCTTGGCATTCCAGATGAAGCCTGGGATCCCTTCTCATTCCAAATGAAGGCTGGGATCCTTCATCATTGCAGATGAAGGCTGGGATCCTTCGTCATTCCAGATGACGCTTGGGATCCCTTGGCATTCCAGATGAAGCTTGGGATCCTTTGTCATTCTAGATGAAGGCTGGGATCCCTTGGCATTCCAGATGAAGGCTGGGATCCCTTCTCATTGCAGATGAAGGCTGGGATCCTTCATCATTCCAGATGAAGCTTGGGATCCCTTGTCATTCCAGATGAAGCCTGGCATCCCTTGTCATTCCAGATGAAGGCTGGGATCCCTTGTCATTCCAAAGAAAGGCTGGGATCCTTCATCATTCCAGATGAAGGCCAGGATCCCTTGTCATTCCAGATGAAGGCTGGGATCCCTTGTCATTCTGAATGAAGCCTGGCATCCTTTGTCACTCCCAACGAAGCCCAGGATCCCTTGTCATTCCAGATGAAGCCTGGTATCCCTTGTCATTCCAGATGAAGCCTGGTATCCCTTGTCATTCCAGATGAAGCCTGGTATCCCTTGTCATTCCAGATGAAGCCTGGCATCCCTTGTCATTCCAGATGAAGCCTGGCATCCCTTGTCATTCCAGATGAAGCCTGGCATCCCTCGTCATTCCAGCTGAAGGCTGGGATCCAGACATGCCACTTCCTTACTGCAGAGCGGGGCCACTCCATAGCTCCCTATTAGAGACCCCGTTCCCCCCCCTTCCCGCTGTCCAACCCCACGGCGCCAGGAGGGGGGAGCCGGGCGTCCCCTCCACACGCTGCCATCCCCCAGGCCAGGGCTCTGCTCCCGGCTTCCCTTCCTCAGGAATTCTCCTCTCCAATATTGGCCTAATCCCCTGTTAATGGCTTTGACGACTTGACTAATTGCTGCAATCATTGACAGGACCGACGGGTCGATTCCGAGGAAATATCGCACCCTCATCCATAACGGTGGCAGCCCCTGCCTAATGGAAGGCAGGAGGGGGCCACCGCCCGCCCTGACCCCCTCTTCCCCATGGCCACGTCCCGCTTGGAGCAGCGGGGCTGGGCTGGGAGGCAATTTGTCAGCTCCCCCTTGGTTGTGCGGGGCCGGGGCTGGACCAGCTGGGCCGCACCGCGGGCTCTGCCTCCTCCTGCATCCCCGTGCTCGGGCGGAGGAGCCCCGGCCCGATCCTGTTTGATGAATGGGCCTCGGGTGCGGCGCCGGCGCCGGGTCACTCATTGGGGAAATATGTTCCTGTCACAGCGGTGGGAGCGCGGAGCCCAGTGACAGGCAGAGATTTTTCATATTTTATTAACTCCCTCCTCCTCCCAATTTGTCTTGAATTCCTTCGCATCCGCGAGAGCTGTCAATAGAGCGCGGGATGCGCCGCGGATGACGGCAGCCGGGACGCGCCGGGGACATGGGGAGCTCCGAGGAGGGGAGATGCGGGGAGGAGGGTGCACGGGGCTTGGGGGAGCAGCGTGGTCTGGGCAGCACGGTGTCACCCATAGTGGCACCCACAGTGTCACCCATAGTGCCACCCATACTGCCATCCATAGTGCCACCTACAGTGCCACCTACGGTGTCACCCATAGTGTCACCCATAGTGTCACCTACAGTGTCACCCATAGGGCCACCTATGGTGTCACCCATAGTGCCACCCAGTGTCACCCATAGCGTCATCCATAGCGCCACCTATAGTGTCACCCACAGTGGCACCCACAGTGTCACACATAGTGTCACCCATAGTGCCACCTACAGTGTCACCCATAGTGCCACCCATAGCGCCACCCATAGTGGCACCCACAGTGTCACCCATAGTGTCACCCATAGCGTCACCCACAGTGCCATCCATAGCGTCATCCATAGCGCCACCTATAGTGTCACCCACAGTGGCACCCACAGTGTCACACATAGTGTCACCCATAGTGCCACCTACAGTGTCACCCATAGTGCCACCCATAGCGCCACCCATAGTGGCACCCACAGTGTCACCCATAGTGTCACCCATAGCGTCACCCACAGTGCCATCCATAGCGTCACCCATAGTGCCACCTATAGTGTCACCCATAGTGTCACCCATAGTGCCACCCATACTGCCATCCATAGTGCCACCTACAGTGTCACCCATAGTGTCAGCCATAGTGTCAGCCATAGTGCCACCTATAGTGGCACCCATAGTGGCACCCACAGTATCACACCACAGTGTCCCCCATAGCGTCACTCACAGCGTCACCCATAGCATCACTCACAGTGTCCCCCATAGTGTCACCCATAGCATCACTCACAGTGTCCCCCATAGTGTCACCCATAGCATCACCCACAGTGTCCCCCATAGCATCACCCACAGTATCACCCCACAGTGTCACCCACAGCGTGCTGCTTATCTCCATCCTCTGCCACAGTCAGTGCCAGAAGGGCACGGAGTGGAGACTGGGCTGCGGGCACGTAGCCCAAGATGTTCCATGATTCCACTCCTGTCATGGAATCCTGGAACGGTTTGGGATGAAGGGACCTTAAAGCTCCTCCAGCTCCAACCCCTGCCGTGGCCAGGGACCCCTTCCACTGTCTGACACTCTCCATGGTCCAACCCCAGCTCAGCCCAGGATTCACCAGGAGCCATCCGCCCCACTGCCTGCTGCGGATGTCACCGCTGCCACCAGCCATCAGCTTTGACAAGGACCGACATTCTTATTGCTCCCCACGCCTGGTTAAGGTAATCCAAGAGGACTCCTGTCCTCCTGAGCCTCGGGGGATGGAATTAGCAACTCACCCCCTACCCAGGAGCACAAACCTGCTTGTGAATCAATGAGAGGCATCATTCCCAAGCAGCTTTTAACACGCAACACAAAGAGGGAAGCAGGCACTGATCCTGCGGCCATTCCCTGGCCTTGAACACTGCCAGGGATGGGGCAGCCACAGCTTCTCTGGGCACCCTGTGCCAGTGCCTCAGCACCCTCCCAGGGAAGAGCTTCTGCCTAAGAGCTCAGCTCAGCCTCCCCTCGGGCAGGTTCAAGCCATTCCCCTTGGCCTGGCCCTACATCCCTTGTCCCAAGCCCCTCTCCAGCTTTCCTGCAGCCCCACTGCGCTGCAGAACTGCAGCTGTGTGAGCAGAAGCCCCCCTGTGACCATAAAGGTGCCCAGAGGCGCAACACCACGAGAGGGAAGGAGCACGGAGCTGCTGCTTGGCATCACTACCACAGAGGGGACAAACCCTTCCCTGCCCTTCCCATGGGATACAGGTGACCCCGCTGCTCTCTTTCAGCTCCAGGCAGGGGGAAGGTGGGTGCTCATTTGGACTGGAATCCATGGGGCA